GCCCAGATGGCCGGGTGGGACAGGGGCACAGAGCTCGAGAGGAAGAGGAAGGCCGAGGCTGAGCCCCGAGCGGGCTCCTGGCAGCTGCTCCGTGCCATCCCAGCATCTCCCAACAAACACCCAAATGTGTGGGAGCATCTGCACGGCGAGGATGAATAATAACCCAGGAGGGAAAAGGCGGGGGCGAGGCAAGAAGGAAGCGCTGGCATTCCAGAGATGGGGAGCGGGGGGAGAACAGGATCGGCAGGGAGCGGAGCAGCACCGCCGGGAAACCGCGGCTCCTGCCGGGGAAACCTGCTCGGGAAGGAGCCGGGAAAAAAGGGGGAAAGCTTCAAAGGCCGAGGGAGATAAGATTGAGGGAGATAAGGCTGAGTTGCGGGGGCGAGGAGGCCGGGCAGAGCGGCGCTCCCACGCGCGGGGTAGGCGTGACTGCGCTGGTGAGATGCCATTCATGTTTTGTCCCCCCCGTCTCCCCGCACAAGCCCGAGTGGGTGAATCCACGTGGTTTTCCCCCATCCCGGGCTTCAGCCCGCGCTGTTTGTGGGGATCAGCCCCCCCGGGACCCCCACGCTGCCAGGAGCGATCTGGGGTTCCCTGATCCAGGGGAGCTGGAAGGTCCTGGAAGGGTCGCGGACCTGCGCGGGGCTCGTGCCGAAAGGTCCTTGAAAGGTTCCTTTGCTGCGGGCACAGAGCGACGGGGACGCGCTGGAGCCTTCCGTGGCTCTCCGCGCTCGCTAATTGAGCTAATGGAGCTAATTGATGGGGGTAATCACCTCACCAGGGCTGTGCGGTGACATCACCGAGGACAGCGTGACCTCCCCCCCGCAGGTCCTGTCACCCCTCGCATTTTTACAGCTTGGACTCGATCTCCAAGAGCTTTTTCATTTTAAGATTAAAATTGTAATAATTTTAATTTAAAAATTAATTTTAATTTTAAAAATTAATTTTAGTTTTAAAAATTAGATTGAATTTTAATTCTGTCGTTTTGTGACCTCTGGCCGTGTCACACCCCCCCCCAGGCCCCCAGTGCTCTCCAGCTGTGCTCCCCCTCTCCAGCTGTGCACCCACAGCTGCCCACGGGACACCCCCACTTTCACTCTCAGCATTTATTTTTTATTTACATTTTTAAATTATTTATTAATTTATTTTTAATTATATATTTATGATCTATTTATTATTTATTTTAATTTTTTGTTTCTTTTTAATTTACATTTATTTTAGTTATTTAGTTTTAATTATATGTTTATTATTTATTTATTATTTTTATTATATTTTATTTTTATTTACATTTTTATTATTTAATTTTTTATAATATTTTTATTATATTTTTATTTACATTTATTATTTATTTAATTTTTATTATACTTTTATTATTTTTATTATTTTTATTTTTTATTTACATTTACCTTTTATTATTTAATTAATTTTTTATTATATTTTTATATTTTTATTTACATTTATTTTTATTATTTATTTAATTTTTTATTATATTTTTATTATCTTTTTTTAAAATTTACTTTATTTTTTTCCCTTTTTGCATTTCACAAGACGCCTGCTCTGACCCAGCCAAACCCCCTTGAACACCCAGCCCCGATTTTTCCTCGCAGTTCTCGCGTGTGAATGTCCTCAGTGTCCTCCGTGCCCGGGTTTGGTGGCTCAGCAAACCCCTCTGGATCCCTGGGATGGTGCTGAGCAAGGCCAGGGGACAGCTCTGACCCCTCCTTGGGCTCCTGTGCCCTCCCAGCTCTGCTGCCTCCTCTTTTTGCCATCGTTCCCCCTGAATTCCGACTCCCCCTCGGCTTTCAAAGTGCTCGTTTTTAACAGGGAAGGAGAAGAAAACCGTGCCCAGCGCTGTGGGGCGTGCGTGGGAGGGCTGGGGTTGATGGAAACGCCTCCTGCCAAGAGGCTGTGAAGTGCCAGCGCTGCCTCCTCCCTTCTCCCGTCTCCCACAGGCACCCAAAAATCCACCCAAAAACCCGGGGGATCTGCCCGAGGGGGCAGCGAGAAAACCCGACCTCTTTAGGGGCTCAACCCCCCCCAGGAGGAAAATAAATGTACAGGGGTGGGCTGGGAGTGAGTGTAAACCCCCCTGGGGGGGAAATAAATGTACAGGGATGGGCTGGGAGTGAGTGTAAACCCCCTCAGGAGGAAAAGAAATGTACAGGGATGGGCTGGGAGTGAGTGTAAACCCCCTCAGGAGGAAAATAAATGTACAGGGATGGGCTGTGGGTGAGTGTAAACCCCCCTGGGGGGGAAAATAAATGTATAGGGATGGGTTGTAGGTGAGTGTAAAACCCCTCAGGAGGAAAATCAATGTATAGGGATGGGCTGTGGGTGCATGTAAATCCCCCAGAGGAAAAATAAATGTATAGGGACAGGATGTAGGTGAGTGTAAAACTCCCCAGGAGGAAAAGAAATGTATAGGGATGGGCTGTGGGTGCATGTAAACCACCCTGGGGGGGGAAAATAAATGTACAGGGATGGGCTGTGAGTGAGTGTAAATCCCCCTGGGTGGAAAATAAACGTACAGGGATGGGCTGTGGGTGAGTGTAAATCCCCCTGGGTGGAAAATAAATGTCACAGCCCGGGGCTGAGCTGAGCACTGCGCGCTGCCCGGGGACAGCACAGGTGGCACTTGTGTCATTGTCACAGCGCCTTCCAACGGGCACGGGCTGTGTGGGGACAATTGTGGGGACAATTGTGGGGACAATTGTGGGGACAATTGTGGGGACAATTGTCGCGTCCCCCGCAGCCATCCCTCCCCTCCTGCTCTTCCCAAAGCTTGTCCCGTATCAGCAGCGCCCCGGCAGCCGCTCAGGCCTTTCTGGCGTCTCTTAATCCCCACAAAATGGATTTGGGGATTAGGCGGGCAGTCTGTCTGTCCTCCCTCTGCCCTTCAGCCATGCCGGTCCCCGGGCACGGGGAGAGGAAAAGAAATAAAGGGAGGGATGAGAGTGGGTGGGGCTGGGAGCGGCCGGAGCCAGGAATGGGAAAAGGGGAGTGGGAAAAGAGAAATGGGAAAAGAGGGGTGGGAAAAGAGGAATAGGAAAAGAGAGTAGGAGGAAAAGAGGAATGGGAAAAGAGGGGTGGGAGAGGAGAGGAAGGGGAAAATGGGAATGGGAAAAAAGAGGAGTGGGAAAAGAGGAATAGGAAAAGAGGGGTGGGAAAACAGGAAGGGGAAAAGAGAGGAGTAGGAAAAGAAGAATGGGAAAAGAGAGAAGGGGGGAAAGAGAGGAGTGGGGAAAGAGAGGAAGGGGAAAAGAGAGGAGTAGGAAAAGAAGAATGGGAAAAGAGAGGAGTAGGAAGAGAAGAATGAGAAAAGAGAGGAGTGGGAAAAGAGAGAAGGGGAAAACGGGAATGGGAAAAAAGAGGAGTGGGAAAGGAGGGGTGGGAAAAAAGAGGAAGGGGAAAAGAGTGGAGGAGAGAAAGAGGAATGAGAAAAGAGGAATGGGAAACCAGAGGTCTGACTCTGGGATTGAGGACAGGGCAGTGAGGGGGCCCTGGCAGAGCCTTCCTGCACCCCCTCCACCACTGAACCCTCTCCCACCCCCAGTTTAACCCCCAGATTCCTGCTTGGAGCACCGGAACTCGGCCTGGGGAGATTGGAGAGGGTTGGAGCCCCCAGTGGGAGCTCTGAGCTGCTCAAACACTGCGCGGAGCAGAAACCTTCCCTCCCTCCTCCTCCTCCAGTGCAAACAGCACCCGGATAATTTTATTTACGTGCCTTCCCCTTTCTCACCGCTAATTACCGAGCTGGATCCGCGTCCCCATTAGAGCCGAGTGTCGCAGAGGCCACCAGGAGCTGGGGGTTTATTTTATTTACATTTTTCCCCTCCCAACAAAGCGGAGGAGCCCCGCGTGCCTCTGATGGCAGCGCTCAGCGCTCCCGGGGCCTCTCATCCCCTCGAGTGCCGCACAGCCATTAACGCTAATTAAGCCTAACGCTAATTAAGGCTCGTGGAGCCCCTTTTCAGGCAGGTTAAGAGGGGGAAGTGGAGAGGGATGCGGGAGAGGCTGTGGAGCCGGGATCTGGCCAGGAATGGGCGGGAGATGCGGGGACCTGTTGGGATTACACCCAAAAATCACCACAAATCCCTTTGCCTCCTCTGGGCGTTTTTAGAGAACTTTCCTGGCTTTATCCAGGATGGATAAAATCCACTCCAATTAATAAAATATTTCATAAAAAAACATTTAAATGAATAATAAATCAAAGCCATTTCAAGCCATTTCCTGGCTTTATCCAGGATGCTCCCAAGCCCAGCCAGAGCCTGGCCAGTGAAAGGGTTGTTTATTTTTCCTTATCTATTCCATTCTTTCTCTGACCTGCTGAGCTCTGTCCAGCAGGTCGGGCTGTGGCACAGTCCCTGCCCTTGGGGTGGTGTTGGATTTTTATACTAAAAACTGCCTGTGCTTTATTGACAATAATTTTCCAGTACCTATCACCTGTGTTAGACAGTCTGTCTCTACTCTAAACCAATCCAAAAGTGTCACCAACACAGCAGAAGATGGAGGAGAAGAAGGAGAACAAGGACAGGACACACCCAGATTCCTCCATCTTGCCTCTTGAACCCCCATTCTAAATCCCCAAAATTCTTTTTCACCCTGTGATAAATTCACTGTCATTCCACTCAAACCCTTGTGGCTTGTAACTCCTCACACAAAGTTAGGAATTGTTTCCATGGGCTGAAATCAAAGGCACAGGTGTTTGTGACTCTGTGCCAAGGGCTCTGAGCCCCTGCCAGGGTCTGGAGCCCTCCAGGGCAGCCAGAGCAATGTCCTGGGTTCTGACACCTTGTAACCAAATTAACAGTACATGCTTAACGATCTATCAACTATTTTACACTTTCTAACCTATTTTTAGCACTCGATCCCCAAAGCGGGGAGCTCTGCCACCCCCGGGTGGCCTCTCCTGGCTCACGCCGTGTGTCCCTGTGTCCCCAGGCTCGGCGCTCCCGGCCTCACCGCAGGCTCTGCTATGATCTGGCGGCGCTGGGAGCAGCATGGGCAGCGTCAGCAGCCTCATCTCCGGCCACAGCTTCCACAGCAAGCACTGCCGCGCCTCCCAGTACAAGCTCCGCAAATCCTCGCACCTGAAGAAGCTCAACCGCTACTCGGACGGGCTGCTCCGCTTCGGCTTCTCGCAGGACTCCGGCCACAAGTCCGGCTCCAAGAGCAGCAAGAATGAGGATTTCTTTTACATCAAGGTCAGCCAGAAGGCGCACGGCTCGCAGCGGCCGGACTACACCGCGCTGGGCGGCGCGGAGCTGGCCGTGCCCGCCGGGAGCGGCGCGCTGGACTTCGGGACGCCCACGCCGCAGAAGCTGATGCCCTTCCCCGGCCAGCTGGAAGTGGTGAGTGGGGAAAAGCAGCCCTGGGAGCAGGGGGGCGTCCCACTGTTTTTGTCATTATAGTGTGAGAGTTTTATATACTTTTATACTCGTATTTAACAAACATTAATAGCTGCAATTGATATATTTTACCAATAGTTTAGCATTCAAGTCCTTTTCCTTGAATCCACATGGTCCTATAGTTTAGTCCCGAATCCACAGGGTTCCCGAATCCATGGGATCATACAGTCAAGTCCTTTTTCCTGAATCACATCGGGATCACCACTGGTTGTCACTATAGTGCAAGAGTTCTATTGCCATTACATTGCAAGGGTTCCAGTGTTGGCTCTTCTTCTCCCAAATGGGCTAAAACAGCCCCTTTTTATAGGGTAAAGGGGGATCCAAACTTGTCCAATAGTAGGGTTTAGGGGGAAGTCACCTATGGGGGTTACAGAGATAAGCTATGGGGCGAGAGGCAGAAGACAGGAGCTTATTTTGCTGTCTCATCTTGACTCAGTAGTTCCTACTGTTAAATCTCAGCACACCACGGGGTCTTAGACAATTCTATGGGGTCTGCTGCACTGGGGGTGCTGTGGGGTGTGAGGACACACGCGGGGCTCGCTCGGTGCTGACGGGCTCTGCTCTCCCTGCAGGGCGGGGAGAAGCCGCTGCCTCGTCCCACAGCCTTCAAGCCGGTGCTGCCGCGCTCCGGGGCCATCCTGCACTCGTCCCCCGAGAGCGGGGGGCCCCTGGCCCAGCAGCTGCACCCCCCAGAGAAGGCCAAGGAGCAGGAGCTGCGGCCGCTGCCCTGCTCGGGGGGCCTGTCCGACTCCGGCCGCAACTCCATGTCCAGCCTGCCCACGCACAGCACCAGCAGCAGCTACCAGCTGGAGCCCCTGGTCACCCCCATGGGCCCCATCAGCCGCTTCGGGGGCTCTGCCCACAACATCCTGCAGTGTGCCATCATCCAGGACAGCAACATGATGAGCCTCAAGGCCATGTCCTTCTCTGATGGCGGCAACAAGATCCTGAACCCCGGCAAGGCGCCCCAGCACCGCGCCGCCGCCGAGAAGAGCGCCTGCGTGCGCTCGCCCATCGCCACGGATGAATCCACCATCCAGGAGCTGGAGCAGAAGCTGCTGGAGAGGGAGGGAGAGCTGCAGGAGCTGCAGTCGAGCTTCGAGGAGAAGGAAATCAGCTCCTGCCAGGCCTACGAGGAGAAGCAGCGGCGCTGCAAGGAGGAGCTGGAGGGGCTGAAGCAGAAATGCAACAGCAAACTCAAGCAAACCTCGCAGAAAACGCAGCGGACGCAGCAGGTGCTGCACCTGCAGGTGTTCCAGCTGCAGCAGGAGAAGCAGCAGCTGAGGGAGGAGCTGGAGAAACTCATGAAGGAGCAGAACCTGCTGGAGACCAAGCTGAGGTCCTATGAGAAGGAGAAGACCAGCTTTGCCCCGGCGCTGGAGGAGACGCAGTGGGAGGTGAGAGGCAAAGGGGGATCAAGGAGAGCTCCAAACCCCCCAGCCCTTCCCATCCCATCCCATCCCAGGCTGTAGGAGATGGGTGTGAAATCCCAGCAGAGCCCCCTGGGAGTGGGATTGAGGCTCTCACGGCCCCCCTGAACCCTTCCCCTCGCCCAAGGGAGCAAGCACAGCACAAACCCCCTCAGGCATTGAATTAACTCGGCATTCCCGGCCTCCAGCTCGGCTTTTCCTGCCCCACAGGAGCTGTAAAACTGCCACAAGGAAATAGGAACTCCCTGGGCTTGCCGTTTGTTAGGGAGCAGTAAAACCTTCCACTCTCTGCTTAACCTTAATTTGCTCACTCCTTGGTACTGCTGAGCAAACACCGTTAATCTGCTGGAAATTCCAACGTTTAGGAAGAGGTAATTATAAATCAATATATAATATTAATATTCAATATATACAATATATAATAGTAATATGTAATATAGAATTAAATATATATACAATTAATAAGATACAATTAAATTAATATATTAATAAATTATAAATATATACAATATATATACAATGTATTTACAACTTAAAAATTAATAATATACAATTAAAATAATATAATATTATTTCATATATAATATTAATATTTATAATTAATACTACATTAAAAATATGCAGTATTATTTAATGTAGTATTAATGATAAATAATGATTGTAATTAAATTAGAATTCTAACAAATAATGGTAAGAAAATTAAATTCAGGGTCGCCACGTGCTGCACCCCAGCTGTGCCTGGCTTACACGTGTCACCCTGTTCTTCTAAGCCTTCTGCTGTTTACATTCTTGTAACGAACCTTCTCACACACATTTCTCTAAATAATTATTGTTTTACATTCTTTTCTAGAGGAAGAGAAATTTAGTAGACTCTTAGTTTGTCTGGTGTCATTGGAGAGGTGGCACTGTCATCCTCCAGTCCACTGTCACTTTTAAAAGTCTATAAATGTTAGAATCAGGAATTAAACTGCCCTTCTTTCAGCCTTGGAGGTTCCAGCGTGCTTGTGGTTTTATTTCATGTCCTAGAGCGACACACACGGGGTACCCTGGCCTTTCCCCATGGTCCAGCCCTAACTCAGGTTTTCACTGAAGGATTTGGATCCTTTGATTTCCAAATCCAGCAGTTTTAGCCAGCAGCTCTACCCAAGCATGCCCCCGAGCCCTGGTCTAGCCCTAACTCATGGTCCAGCCCTAACTCAGGTGTTCACCAAAGGGTTTGGATCCTTTAATTTCCAAACCCAGCAGTTTTAGCCAACAGCTCTCTCCAAGCCCTGCTCCAGCCCTAACTCAGGTATTCACCGAAGGGTTTGGATCCTTTGATTTCCAAATCCAGAAGTTTTAGCCAGCAGCTCTCCCCAAGCCCTGGTGCAGCCCTAACTCATGGTCCAGCCTTAACTCAGGTGTTCACCGAAGGATTTGGATCCTTTGATTTCCAAACCCAGAAGTTTTAGCCAGCAGCTTCCCCCGAGCCCTGGTCCAGCCCTAATTCAGATGTTTACTGAAGGATTTGGATCCTTTGATTTCCAAACCCAGCAGTTTTAGCCAGCAGCTTCCCCCTGAGCCCTGGGCCATCCCTAACTCAGGTGTTCCCCCCCAGGTGTGCCAGAAATCCGGGGAGATCTCGCTGCTGAAGCAGCAGCTGAAGGAGTCGCAGACCGAGCTCACCACCAAGACCACGGAGATCCTGAGCCTGAAGGCGCAGCTGAAGGAGGTGAGGCTGAAGATGGAGGGGCTGGAGATGAAGAGCCAGGAGCTGGAGGTGTCGCTGCGCACCAAGGCCATGGAGCTGGAGGTGTGCGAGAACGAGCTGCAGCGCAAGAAGAACGAGTCGGAGCTGCTGCGGGAGAAGGTGAACCTGCTGGAGCAGGAGATCCTGGAGCTGCGCTCCGAGCTGGCCGCGCTGCGGGAGCAGCTCCAGGCGCCCCGGCCGGGCGGGGAGGACGCCCAGGCCCTGCAGGGGCAGCTGGAGAGGCTGCGGGCGGAGCTGAAGGCGGAACGCGACAACAACGAGCAGATGAGCTGCAGCTTCCAGCACGAGCGGCAGACGTGGAAGGAGGAGAAGGAGAAGGTGATCCACTACCAGAAGCAGCTGCAGCAGAGCTACCTGCACATGTACAAGAGGAACCAGAGCTTGGAGAAGATGCTGCAGCAGCTGGCGGCGGGAGAGGACGGCAAGGAGCCCATCGAGCTGGAGATCCCCGGCGGCACCGACGTCCCCTACGAGGACATCATCGCCACCGAGATCTGAGCCACCGGGGGAGCTGTCCCCTCCCCGCCGTGCAGTGTCCCCCCGTCCTTCCGCCGCCCGTCGTGTTCCAGAGGTGACCAAGCCACTCGTGCCAATGGTGACGTGCCCGCAGCTCCCCCACCCTGGCACTGCCCCCTCTGCCCCCGGGCAGGGATCAGGACTCCAGGGAATTCTCTGCCATCCATGCCCAGCGCCCAGGGGATGCTCTGCTCCAGGCTGGGGGGACACAGCCTGGCCCTGCTCCGGGGATGGCACAGCTCTGGGATGGCACAGCTCCAAGGATGGCACAGCTCCGGGGATGGCACAGCGCCGTCCTGCCCACTGATGGTGGCAGAAATCAGCCCCAACGTGTGCCCAACTCCAAGGATGGCACAGCTCCAGGGATGGCCCAGCACCATCCTTCCCGCTGATGGTGGCAGAAATCAGCCCCAGTGTGTGCCCAGCTCTGGGGATGGCACAGCTCTGGGATGGCACAGCTCCAAGGATGGCCCAGCACTGTCCTGCCTGCTGATGGTGGCAGGAATCAGCCCCAATGTGTGCCCAACTCCAAGGATGGCACAGCTCCATCCAGGGATGGCCCAGCACCGTCCTGCCCGCTGCCTGTGGCAGGAATCAGCCCCAGTGTGTGCCCAACTCCAAGGATAGCCCAGCACCATCCTGCCCGCTGATGGTGGCAAAAATCAGCCCCAATTTGTGCCCAACTCCAGGGATGGCACAGCTCCAAGGATGGCACAGCTCCAAGGATGGCCCAGCACCGTCCTGCCCACTGATGGTGGCAGGAATCAGCCCAATGTGTGCCCAGGAATCAGCCCCAGTGTGTGCCCAGGAATCAGCCCCAGTGTGTGCCCACTCTGGGGATGGCACAGCACCGTCCTGCTCACTGCCCATGACAGGAATCAGCTCCAATTTGTGCCCAGCTCCAAGGATGGCCCAGCACCATCCTGCCCACTGAGGGTGGCAGGAATCAGCCCCAGCTCCGTGGAGGAAGCTCCCACTCCTCCTCACCCTCGTTCAGCACCGTGGGAGCACAGAGCCACCTCCTGCCACTGCCACATCCACCCTTGCCAGCCCGGGAGGGCCTCAGGAAGGTTCCCCACCTGCTCACACCCCCCCAGTATGGCCCAACTCCCTGAGATCACCCTGAGATCACCCTGAGATCACCCTGAGCTCCCATTCAGTCCGAGCACAGCACCCACCACCCTCTCTCTGCTGGCATTCCCAGCTCCCACGGACAAGGACCCCGTCCCTTCTTCCGGCTGCCAGGCAGCAGCTGGATCTGAGGATTCACAGGAATGTCCCAGCCACGTTCTGACCAGGGATTGGGGTTTGTGTTCGCCCCACAGCCCCTGCACTCGCTGGGGCTGTCCCTCCCGGCTGCCTTATCTCCTCCCTGCCCTGATCCTGCAGGATCCGGCCCAGGGGAGCTGGTTGAACACCCCAAACCAACCACGTCCACCTTAATTTCTACCCCAGCTCTTAAAAGTTCCTCCTGCCACCAGCGAGTGGCTCCACAGATAAGGAGGTGGCCCTGCTGGTGACCCTCGTGTCCCCCTGGCTGGGGAGGCAACCAGCAGGACCCAGTTTGTGGGGTGGGGGCCCCAGGGGACCCCTCTGTGCCAGTGCAATGATATTTTTGCTGCAATTATTTACCCACTGCCCCATTCCAGGGCTCTTGGGGGGGGGTTCTTGCACAATCCCAACGCCGCCAATTCGGCCACGGGCTCCGAGCTGTGCAAAATTCCGCGTCCCTCGCGCCACTGCAGCCTGGAAAGGTGACACACAGGAACCAGTCTGTGCCTTCTGTGCCCGGCCCTGAGCACCCCAAACCACTGCCCCAGCTCTCCTGGCTGGGCCTGGCACTGCCCAGCCACTCCTGGCACTGCCCAGCTGGGTCTGGTACTGCCCAGTTGAGCCTAGTACTGCCCAGCCATAACCCAGCACTGCCCATCCAGTCTTGGCACTGCCCAGCTGAGCCTAGTACTGCCCAGCTGGTCCTGGCACTGCCCAGCTGGGTCTGGCACTGCCCAGCCATACCTGGCACTGCCCAGCTGGGTCTGGCACTGCCCAGCCTTTTTTGGCACTGCCTGGCCAGTCCTGGCACTGCCCAGCCACTCCTAACACTGTCCAGCTCGGTCTGGCACTGCCCAGCCAGTCCTGGCATTGCCTAGTTGGGTCTGGCACTGCCCAGTTGAGCCTAGTACTCCCCAGCCATACCTGGCACTACCCATCCAGTCTTGGCACTGCCCAGCTGGGTCTGGCACTGCCCAGCCACTCCTGGCACTGCCCAGCCTTTCTTGGCACTGCCTGGCCAGTCTTGGCACTGCCCAGCCAGTCTTGGCACTGTCCAGCTGGTCCTGGCACTGTCCAGCCTTTCTTGGCACTGCCTGGCCTGTCCTGGCTCTGCCCAGCTGGGTCTGGTACTGCCCATCCACTCCTAGCACTGACCAGCTGGATCTGGCACTGTCCAGCTCGGTTTGGCGCTGCCCAGCCAGTCCTGGCATTGTCCAGTTAGGCCTGGCACTGTCCAGCTGAGCCTAGTACTGCCCAGCCATACCTGGCACTGCCCAGTCAGTTCTGGCACTGCCCAGCCCGTCCTGGCACCGGCACAAGCGATGCTCACCCCTGGCCCGTGGAAAAGCCAACCTCAGGCTCCTGCGGGTGCCCCCCGGGGCCAGCCCTGCCCATCCCTGCCCATCCCTGCCCTGTCCCAGTCCCTGCCCACCCCTGCCCAGTCCCTGCCCATCCCTGCCCTGCCCCAGTCCCTGCCCATCCCTGCCCTGTCCCAGTCCCAGTCCCAGTCCCTGCCCATCCCTGCCCATGCCCATGCCCAGCCGAAGGATGTTTGCCAAGCTGAAGGATCAGGGGCAGCGAGGCCGGCAGGGATTTTGTGCCTCCCCCGAACGGGCGCAGCCCGGCCCGGAGCCGCGGGGAGGGAGCAGAGCCCGGCCCGGCCATTCCCGCTCCTGCTCCCGCCGGCCCCATCCCTGTCCCTGTCCCTGTCCCTGTCCCCAGGCGTGTCCCCCGGCCCCGTGTCCCCCCAGCTCTGTGATGTGATCTCCAGAGGCCTCGCCGTGCTGCCTTTGCACAACCGCGCTGTGTGTGCCCGTCGCATTCCAGGTGTGTCGCTCCAGGCCCCGGCCTGGACAGAGAATTATTTTTCTGCAGGTTTTTTTTTTTGTTTGTTTGGTTTTGTTGATTTTTTTTGATGTTCTTTCTGGTGACTGATGTAAACTACTGGTTAATTTTATGTTTTTTATTTATAAATAAATTTTTTAAAACTTCCCCAGCTTGTGGTGGTGTTCACAGGGGTCTCAGGACAAGGGAAGAGACGAGGATCTGACTCCATGTTTCAGAAGGCTGATTGATTATTTTATGATATGTATTCCATTAAAACTATACTAAAAGAATATAAGAAAGGATTTCATCAACAGGCTAGCAAGGAAAGCAAAAGAATGGAATGATAACAAAAGCTTGTGTCTGACTGAGAGTCTGAGCCAGCTGGGCTGTGATTGGCCATTAATTAGAAACAACCAACATGGACCAATCCCAGATGCACCTGTTGCATTCCACAGCAGCAGATAACCATTGCTTGCATTTTGTTCCTGAGGCCTCTCAGCTTCTCAGGAGGAAAAATCCTAAGGAAAGGATTTTCCATAAAAGATGTCTGGGACAGGAGCTTGTTGGTGTTCTGGGCATTCTCCATGCCTGAACCACCAGAAGAGGGCACAGCCTTAAGCTACAGCAGGGAAGGTGTAGGTTGGATATTAGGAACAAATTTTCACCAAAAGAATAATAAAGCACTGGAATGCTCTTCCCAGGGAGGTGGTGGAATCACCATCTCTGGGTGTGTTTAAAAAAGCCTGAACATGGCCCTTGGTGCTATAGTCTGGGTGAGGTGTGAGGGCACAGGTTGGACTGGATGATCTCAGAGGTCTCTGCCAACCTCATCGTTCTGTGATTCTGGGATTCTGGGATTCTGTGAATTTATCACAGCCCACAGAGTCCCCTCTGGGGACATCCCCGCACCTGGCCTGGCGTTATCTCTGCTCTGCAGCTGGGATAACCCGAGCATGGAGGAGCAGGGATTGGGCTCGGGATAATCCTCCCAGCCTGAGCCCCCAGCCCCTGCAGGGGGGCCTGGATTTCACCCCCAGCCCATCCCTGAGCAGGCAGGTCCTGACCCTGAGGGGATCCAGGGAAAACAATTCCCGAGGGAGAGGTGGAGCCTGGCTGCTGGAACAAACCCGAGGCTGAATTTTGAATATTTCAGCTGTTTTGCTCCAAACCAAATCAAAACAGCATCGGGGGAGGCCAAGGGGGAGGTTGGGGAGCACAAAATGTGGAAAACTCTCAAATTTCAGGCATTTCCAATTTCCAGTTTCCAATTTCAGGAAACTCTGCTCATTCTGGCTGCACCCATGGGGCAGGGGGTGGATCTGGGCACCCCAAGAAGGCACCTGCTGCTGCTTTCCAGGAAAATTTATTTATATTTTTATTTTATTTTGGAACTGCTGGGGAGGAAAAGGCCAGGAATTCCCTGTGAGGGCTCTGTGCCCTGAGGGTCCCCCCTGTCACAGCCACCCCAGCCTGGCTGGGGGTGCAGCCCAGCCCTTCCCAGCCCTTCCCAGCCCTTCCCAGCCAGGAATGCGGCCAAGGGAGCAGCAAGGAGAGCCCTGAGCTCCCAGCTCTGCCCGGGGATGTCCCTGTCCCTCCGAGCTCACAGCCCAGCTCAGCAGCACCTGGAGGAGCGAGGGCAGGGCCAGGAGGGACAGCAGCATCCCCGAGGGCACCAACACCCCAGGGAATTCTTAGGAAGACAAAACCTCATCCCTGGAGACTCAAAATCCCAGCCCTGAGAGGCCTGGGTTGCTTCTCCTGAAAAGCAGGTGCTGATCCTGCCCCTTATCCAGCAAACCGCTCCTGGAGCTGGGGCTGAGCTGTGCCAGCCTTGGCACAAACCTGGCACAAACCTGGCACAAACCTGGCAGGGGAGAGCCCCAGGATTGGAATTGGTCCTGTCCTGGGAGAGCCCCAGGATGTGAACTGCTCCTGGGAGAGGCCCTGGATATGAACTGGTC